TGTACTCTGCCATGTTTAGGAACCTGGAGCTTGTCTGGCAAGCAGGAAGTCTGCTCAGCTGTAGGGTGCTTCTGACAGAGTCTGTTCTAGTAGCATTTGTTCACTTGCTTTAGAATCTTAATGAAATGCTTCTCTCCAAGAATTACACTTCCATTTTGAAGCAGTCCAGGAGTGGGTAAGGAAGGAGAACTGAAATCTGTCCCAGTGCCTGGCACACAGTAGTGGAGCACATTGCTACTGTGATTCTCACAGAGGGACTGAACTTGTCTGTGTATACAGGGAGCAAAAGTCATGGCTGGGCGTAGGTTTACAGCTTTTTCCAAGGAAGTGAGTGGTGATGCTGGTTAGTCTTGCACTGAAATGCCCATTTGAGAAGGGGTTTAAATTTCTGTTTGTTACGGATTTGTTCTGTGTTTGGATAGCTTGTGCTTAACCTTAAATTGCATGTGAAATTTGTTTTGTTCAACAGCGCTTTTGTGACTCATCCCTGTGTAGGTAAGTTTTCAAAAGGAAGCAGAGGTGTGGGCAGTCCCACTTATCAGGAATAGCATAATTCTTGAAGAGCATTTTTTTGCCTCTTTGTTCTGCTGATATGTACAAACCAAAACCGCTTATGCACCTCTGACACTGGTTGGGTTTTTTTGCACAGATTTATCTTAGAAAATAATAAACTGGGTACAGTCTAAAAGGATTTGCCAGTTGGTTATGTGTCTCAAATCTGATTGCAGTAAATGGGAGTAGAGTTGTGATGGCAGTGCAATAATTGTTCCTAAACTGCTTTATGATGGATTGCTCCATGCTATGGGAAGTGGTTGTACAAAATCTGTAAATCTGTGCACTTGCCTGGAGTGCCCTCCCCGCTTGCTATGTATCTTACAGAGGTCACATATTGCCCATTCATTTTTGAAGAGTCTGAAAGATTTTTTTTTCCCCTTTGCTCAGTAAGGCAGTCCTTATCTTCATTTTCATAACCTCTGTTAGATTTAACAGGTAGCTTTAAAATTATGATGCTGCTAATAGTTGTGCTCATTTTTCCTTTTATAAACTTGCTGCTTGCGCTGGACTCAGCAGCTTTATCGAATCCTAGTGCTTCTGTTCCAAAACAGAAGTGATGGTGCTTTAGAGAATTGCAACGGGGAGTGTTTGGGAAAAAAATGGATGGACCTGCTCACTAATCTTACATTAGCAGTAATTACAGTCATTGGATTAATTGTGTCTTATTGGAGGTGAACAAGAAGTTGAATGAGATGATATATTTGTTCTTCTGAAATTAAGAACCTGATTCTCTTGAGGAGAGTAAATGCCATCTTTTAGGTGTGATTAAATGGCTTTCGAAGTGCTGGTCCTCTTGTGTGGGGAGAAGCTCAAATCCAGTGTCAGGTTTTGAATTGTGGAGTAGTGAATTGCCCTACAGTCTTGTGTTTTGTCATTATGAAGCTGGTTGTGTTTAGCAATCAATTGGGCCCTTAAGACTAGGAATACTCAGCAGATGGATTTGAGCATACTAGGCAAACAGCCTGCCTGTCTTTTGGAGATTCAGAGAGAGAGCGTATAGATGTTAAATGTAGGGAATGTTCTTGAATGCTTTTTTTCTATAATTTTCCTAACAGGAGTTGAAAGATGTGGGTCACCGTGATCAAATGGCAGCAGCTAGAGGAATTCTGCAGAAGAACGTTCCCATTCTCTACACGGCATCCCAGGCCTGCCTGCAGCACCCTGATGTTGCTGCTTACAAAGCCAACAGGGACCTGATCTACAAGCAGCTTCAGCAGGCTGTCTCAGGCATCTCCAATGCTGCTCAGGCCACGGCCTCAGATGATGCTGCCCAGCAGCAGGGTGGAGGTGGAGAGCTGGCCTATGCTCTGAACAACTTTGATGTAAGTTTTGAACCCTATATGTAAAGAAAAAACCAAGTGGTAACTCCCAACTCTCATGTTCATTCACCTGGTTTACTAGCAGCAGCTAACTTTTATTTATACTGCCTGAAAGATCATTTTCTACTGAAATACAGCAAGTTGTAGGTAAAGTTGACTTTTTCAAAAGTCTTTTTCCAAACTAAGGTTGATGGAGTATAGAAAGTTATATATGTGGTTCTTGGTGATTGAAGGCTGTCAAGTTAACCAGCTCTGAAATAGTAGTTAGCCTACTGCTACATTAGATGTAATCCCTTGGTTTATTTGGAGTTGATTATTTTGTAATATATTTATGTATTCTTGTAGGTGACAGAAATGATTTATTAGAAGTGAATAATGTATTTTGAATTGCCCAAACTACCTATAGAGAGGAAGATGAAGTGGGAAGTTTAATATGATCTTTGTTTGGGAATGAAGTAATTTCACACTGATGAGTTGTACTGATCTGTCATGTTCTTTCTCGCATTCAGCGTGTGGCTGAGGACAGCCATACTTTTCTGAGATCGTTTTCCTTTTGAAGCCTTTTTGTCTGCCACTAATCCAGCCTCTGAATTTTAAACACCTTAGCACTAACTTACCTCTAGAACCTTATTTAATATTGCAAAGCCATCACTCAGAAGGCATTTAATAGTTGTTTTGCTGGATTCTGCTCACCTTCTTTTCGCTCTTACCGCTCTTGTTCCTCCCCTCTTTGCCATGTTTCTGTTACCTGGGATAAAGTGCTATTTGAGTTCTCCCTGTGCCTGGTGGGAAGCCTTTCTGTGTGATCTCTTGGGTAACAAGAGCTTGTCATGACTGTCTTGTTCTTTGTGACTATGATTTCAGTTTCAAGTCTGCGTTTCTTAAATTTCCTGAGCTGTATGCTCAGTAAGCCTGAGGTGTGTGCCTGAGGTTAGCCCCCACAGGACTGCAGGGGTGAGCATGTATCTGTGGGAGGGGAGGGCAGGCCCTGTGGCAGCACAGTGACCAGGGCTGACTTGGATACATGCAATTGAAGAAACAATTCAGTTCAGGTTTGTGGATTGTCTTATCTCGCTCAAACCTTCTAACAGGACTTGTGATGTATCACTGGATTGTACAATATGAGCTCTCTAAATACATGGCTGGAGCCTACTTGTTGGAGTGTTGCAGTTCACGTGAAGCTTTTGAGCTTTTAATTCCACTCTGAGGCTCTCTAATAACAGCAGTGCTTGATCAGCAACCCAGCTTCCACACACGTTTTGTGTGATAGCTTTGTCATCTCCTCCCTGCCAGAGGAGGCTGGCAAAACAAATGTGTTGAGGTTCTTGGCATATGTTATCCCTTCACTTCATTTTCTGCTACTGCTTGAGTGTTATTGCGCTCTTGTAATAGAGGCTTTGCACACACATGCACCCAGATACTCCAGTGATGGTAAAATATTAAATGGCTACCAGAAGATAACAAGCTGATCATTACCTCTCTTTTCTGATGGTGCAGTTCTGGAGTGGTAACATGCTGCCGTTGTATTAGCCACATAGCTAAAAGTTTCAGGAAAAATGAGGAGTGTACTGGAGAGCACATGCCATGTTGTTGTCCTGCTGTTCTGGCTGCCTGGTTATTCCATAGGGAATATGAAATGTGCTGGCTGGCAGGAGGAGCAGTGGTTGTGATGTGATTGCTGAGGTTAGCTGGTGTACAAACTGTCTGAGGCCTCTCATTTCAAAAAACTTTGGGACTGCTTTTATAATTAGGAAATCCTGTAGTGGGAACAAAACCCATCCAAACCCTAAAAAAACCCACCAAACCTTGAACTGGCCAGATAATTTTTCTTTAGTAAATTATAGATCTGTTTAAATAAATCACCTCTAAGTACTCAAAGGAGATGAACACTTCACAGCTTCTTCATGGGGAACTTGGGTGGTGATATTGGTGCTGTGAGAGTGGATACTGTTTCAGCCTTATGTCTCTCGTTATGACCTGTGCTTACTTATACTCTGGCATGATAAACCTGTGATAATCTTCTGCTTTGAAGAAATTGATTTCTGTGCTGTTTGAAACGTTAGTGTCGATGTTTCACTTGGAAAATTGTTGAGAATACAGTTGTGTTTACCTGCCTAGCAGTGAAGAGAAGAAAGACTGGATGAAGTAAGACAACAGAGCACTATATATAGGGCTAATTTTGGATGTTTTTCTTGTTCATGATGGGATAATTATATCTGACAAGTTAACTAGTGAAGGCATGTCTGGATTGACATGTAGTTAGGAAGAGTTCTGTACTTTGAACCTTATTTGTACTGGCACATTTGATTTTTGCCATTCATGTAATGAGGCTTCCTGTGGCCAAGTTTTGTTTAGCTGTCAGAGCAGCACAAGAAATGACTAGCAATGTAATCTGCTGGGGAACCTTTGAGTAATTTAACAAAACTACTCATAAAAATCCTCCTCAGTGCCAAAATAGTGTGTCGTTTCCCTTTTAATGCTGATCAGGGAGTTGCTTTAAGTGTAGCTGTGCTGGTGACTTAACAGTAACTTACTACTTGGTCTGATTACTGATTTCCAGAACCTTTTTTTTAAAATTTATTTTATTTTTGCTAGAAACAAATTATTGTGGATCCATCGACCTTCAGCGAAGAGCGTTTCAGGCCTTCCCTGGAAGAGCGCCTGGAGAGCATCATTAGTGGTGCAGCCCTGATGGCTGACTCGTCCTGCACACGTGATGACCGACGGGAGCGCATCGTCGCCGAGTGTAATGCGGTGCGACAGGCCTTGCAGGATCTGCTTTCAGAATACATGGGCAACGTGAGTATCTCCTGTCCTGTTTGTACAGTTCGTGTGGTTTGACTCCATGTGATTAGCTCCATTAGTGATGGAATTGAAGCTGTGTGTCTCTAAGCTTGTTTGTTCTGTGCCAAACAATTGGAATAGTAACAGGTAGACCTGAAGGGTTTGTCATGAGGTAGGATGAAAGATAGTTAAATCATCAATGATACTTACCTTAAAATTGGTTTTTAGTCTTCCAAACAACTTTTACCATCTTAAAGTGTTAACCACAGCTTTTATTTTTTGACTGTTAATATTGGTTTGTGTAGAAACTCAGTGGAATTAGTCTGTTTTTCTACTTTGGTTTACATAAAGTAACTGGTGTTATGCAAAAAGTAGTATTTCACTTCTGTTGACTCTTGGAAAGTTTAACTGCCATCTTTTTGGCTAAAGGCATAAATTCTCAGAATCAAGTCAATTTGTTTGAGTAGATGCAATGTATGAAGTGAAATATGTAGTAAGAAATCCGGAGAACAATTTGATATAAATATTGGGCTCTGAGCAGTTTTTTTACAGTGTTTAGACATAGAATGTGCACACAGTATTTGAGGCCTGAGAGTGTTTCTGTGGTTGGAGTAAGTGCCATGTCATGCGGATAAGCATCTGCATTTCAGGGCATTGTGATATAATTCTGGATTTTTCCCCTCCATTGCCCCTTTGTTCTTGTCTCAGTGGGTTTTAATCTGAGTAACTCTTGCTGTGTTGAGATGTGAGGCTAGACTATCATAAGATTTAGCTTATATCTAATTTTTAAACTTAAATACTGTTAAAGCTGATTTTGGAAATAGTTGCAGAAGTGGCAACACCTTAAGCAAACTACGTGGCTGAGGTAAAATTGTCTGGAGAGATCTTAGCAGGAGGTGGTGAAGTCTTATTTATGCTTTTGAACATGTCCAAGCTGAAACTTAGTTCAGACATACCTTTTAGATACCGTTTTTTAGACAGTAGCACTTATTTAGGAACCACACTGTGTTAGGTACCTTACCTTTGAATCTTGCGGTGAAAAGGGCTTCAGTGTAGAGTAAAACTGGTCCAAAGGCTGCCATGTGCAGATTGGGGTGGTAGAATTCGGAGAACAGATGCAGTGTGTGGTAGAGAGAAAGGAAAACAAGGATTTATGTTTATCAAACACAAGGACAAAGTAATTGAACAAAACTGAAAGTCTAGTCTGATGTAGCCTGCGGGCTGAGATAGGTACTTCATGTAGTCTGTCTTAATTGCTTGTGAAAGTAGCTTGTGCTCAGCATTGACATTATGTGGAACTTCAGACTGCAGCTGGGAGGCAAGCCGTGAAGTTGTGCCATTTGCGACTCCTTTGAGCAGCGTGTTTTATTAGTATATAAAGCATCAGCAGTAATCCCTCCAACAAATGTGCTGCTGGATTGGATGGAGCCTTGTCGGCGTGATTCAGAGCGAAGCAGTCACATAATTCAACATAGGGAAGAAGTGAATGCTTGGTCTTGCATGTAAGAGTTGGTGCATTTGCCTCATTCAAAGTTGGTCAATACTCACGTGACAGTGTGGAGCTTTGACCTCCTCTCACAGAAGTGCATGTCCTCCTCCTTTGCTGTGTGCTCTTGTCTCTGATACACGAGTTAAAGTAATCATGCTGAGATGGAAAGAATGTATTGCCTCTGTTATCTCTTCTAACACATTGTGAAATTAGTGGAGCATACTGAATTTTTTAAAGTCACTGCTATGTTATGATTGTAGACAGTGTAGTTGGGGAAATGAGATTAAAAATTCAGTGAAATGGAGTGGAAAAAGCAATTGATAACTTATGGTGAAAATGTGGGATGGTGTGTAAAAATCCATACTATAAACCCCTCCGTGATTAAGCTGAAGAATGACTAATAGTTGGGAATCTAAACAGTGAAGATGGTTTGATACATCTACAGGAAGTGTAGGGATGTGCTGACTTAGAGTAGTGGCAGAGGAAATGTCATTTCATGTATATGTATGACATACCCACAGTCACAGCTCCTGGTATGCTTTCTTCCAGTCTGCCTTTGAAGGAGGATGTGAATTGGGCATTAAATCTGTTAATTGTACAGCACTTGCAGTGCCCAAGTGATAGAGTGAGAGGTATTTATGGGCCAAGTGTAAAAACTCAGAGAAGATTGGATGAGGAATGGACTGTAAAAGAACAGGAATGTCTGAGGCAGATTCCCTTTTGGCTTTAAATGCCTTTCCTTTTAGTGACTTCCTCTAGCTTTTTGGATTTTCTTTCCTATCTCTGGCAATGGTAAGACTATTTGCTAGGTAGTTTGTAACACAGAGATTAATGTTTTGGTTGCAGAGTGTCACTGTTTCTCTGTGCCTGTCCTTGAGGGTCTGTAAGTGTGCAAGGGTTGCAGGCTGTGTTACGGTGCGTGGCAGAAGTAACAGTTTTCAGTAACAAACTGAATTGTAGGATCTTTTGACCTCTGCTGCATCTGCTGGCGTGATGAATCCTGTGATTATGCCTCTAAGAGGAAGGGCAAGATCTGCCTGTTCAGTACTTTGTTACAGACATTTGAATCCCATTTTTCTTAGATTGAGGTCTGTGTGTGTATGTGTTCTTTCCTTTGAGCACACCTTTCTTGCCATTTTCAATTTTAGTCCTTAGTCAGAATAACTTTGTACATCAAGGCCTGTCATGACAGGATTCAGTAGTCGATCCCACAAGCTAAAGGTCAGGAATAGGGAGCTGTGTAGTTTTAATTGCACCAAGTATCCCCTGAGTGCTAGCAGTCTGCAGCTCAGGTACTTCCAGTGCTGGCTTTGCCAGCTGCGTTCAGTGGTTCTTGATGGGTTTTCCCCCGATGAGTCTGTGTAGTTTCTTTCTAAACCCATATAAACGTACAGCATCCATAATCTTCCTGAGCAAGTAGCTCTCCTGCTTAAATGGCTGCTGTGTGAAGAAACATCTCCTTTTGTACTGCAGCAGAACGACCTTGCGTGTGTTGTGTTGGATGTTCCTCCTCATTTAAGGAAAGACCCTGAGCAGCTACTCATTGCCCATCCTTTCCTAGGCCACTTATATTGTTTCAGAGCCATATCGTGTCGGAGACTTTGGTCTTACCTTCCCTAGAATTAAGTGTTCTAGTTTTATGAAGTCTTGCCATAAATGAGGTACTCAACACCACCTCTGAGCTTTGGCTGTGCCCCGGTATCAGACGGCGTGGTAGGTTCTGATGGGGTTTGTAGAGTCAAAGTCTCATTGCGTTGTGTGTGCCAGCATTTCATAGGAGTTTGCCTCACCTAATTTTAGCTCAGTCCTGTGGGCTAGTTAGCATTTGATGTGGTAGTTGCTGTCTCCTTGTGTAGATACACTCAGAGAATTCAGCTCATGTGGCCTGGGCAGAGTCCAAGATGAGAATCGCAGCACATGAAACAAGTGACTGTGAGATGAGTTTCAAAAGTGCACTGCTCATGTGAGCCAAAATGCTGGCATGGACACATTCCCCCATCTCCTCCTGGAGTTCCATATTCCCTATGAGTTTTGGGGACCAGAACTCTATCCGCCATTCAGGATTCAGGTAGTATCACCATATCTCCTGGTTTTGTTCTGTAGTCCTCAGCTACCAATGCCTAACACTTGATGTGGTCTCGTTAGCTGCTGTGCATGGAGGGGGCTCCGTGGATCCCCAGGATTTAGCTTCTGAGCCATAGTGGCAGGAGTCTGTTTGTGTGGATGTTAGGTGAGATGGGCTTTCATTACCTACGTCAGCTGAACTTCATCGGCCACCTGGTGACCCAGCCACTTGGTTTGTAAGCCATATTCCTTAAAATGCCAGCTCTTCATCCCTGAGTTGTAGCATCTGATTCTTTACCTTTTCCTCCTCCTCCTCCTCTTTACTTTGACTAGGGAAAGCTGTTTTCTATGATAGCTTTTGCTCGTGTTTCACAATTCTAATAGAAAATAGTTGTCCTTTTTAAACTTGCATTTCTGATCCCCCCTGCATTGGAATAGCAAACATGGATGTCTATTTGCATCTGGGTTTTATTACTTGGAGTAAACTTGATTCTTACTGCTAGTGCTGAATGGCAGAGCAAGAAGAGGAAGACCTAAAGGAATTCATTGTTGATTCTGATGTACGCTGTAAAAGCAGAGCAGTCCAAGGTCTTGGTTCTGGGATTAACTGCCTGGAATGCAGTAAGTTGGCCATATAAGTTGTAGCTAAGTTTGTAATATAACTCACAGATGGCAAGATCCACGTCTTTGTGTGATCTGTGGCAGTCCGACATTTTTGGTGCGTGTTTTATTAATTAAATTAAAGAATTTCAAAGTGTATTTGACTTTAGTTGGACATTGATTTCAGACTTAGGTAGGGCAAGATAGACAAACCATCCAATTGAATGATGTTGAGATTAATAGTGCCCTAATGAAGAAGCTAGTAAGAAATGTTACAAAATGCAATGGAAACAGTCTTTTGTGTCTAAGTCCGTAGCCCTGTGGGTACACATTGACCAGTTGCTGTTTGCTCCAAATAAAAGGTATGAGGCAGCAGCTGGTGTGATTCCTCTTCCAGTGCAGTGTAGTTACAATCAACATTTCTGCTCATCTATTCTATGCTACTCAACTCTGCCTCAAATTTATCTATGTAGTTTTCATTGCAGTTATGTTATCTAAACTTCTTAAAGGAAATGCATTGAAAAAAAGAACAGTGGGCTGACAGCTGAAATATTCCTGTATTTTTGAGAAGCAAGCTGTTTGTAGAGTGGAGAGGTAAGGGAACGTGTCCACAGACACACAAATCCACAAACTCTTAAGTTGTGACAGGTATGTGCTCTGCTCTGTAGCCCCTGTGGGTGTTAGTAGCACAAGACCTGGGCAGCTTGCCTTGATGTTAGCTGCTGTGTTAGGTATGGTAAACCCTGGGTGTGGTAGGGTTGGGACTGGGGTTTGCAGTTGGGATTCAGCAGGGCAGAAAGTGCAGCCTGTACCCTGGAAGTGTAACCAGCAGTTTCCAGGCTGCTCTCTGTGCCTTCAATGTCCAGAAGAGAGCAATTAATCTGATTGACATGTAAGATTGGGAAAAAACACTTCCTTGAGCTTTTGACTGTCCATTTTTATTGCTTGATGCAAGTGCCCTGAGGGCTGGGGTCAGTTGCGCTCCGTTCCACGCACGCTGCTGTAGAGCCACTCGGAAGCTGTGGTCAGAGGTGGCACAATTTCATATGCACAGGAGCATGCAGAGAGCTCTCGTTTTGAGTCTATTCTGTACCCCATCAATTTCTAATGCATATAGCTACCCTTTCATACACACACCAGTAACTCAGCCATGTACTAGCATAAACATTGTCAGGAATTGCAGTTTGGCTAGTATGGAATGCGAACCCGGAGCCCCATTGTGTACCACATGCTCTTGTACAATAAAATCCCTTGTTACTACATTTGGAAACGATAAATCATGTTACATAAAGTAGCTTGACAGGTCCTATTTCAATGGGAATTTTAATGCTTTCGTATTAACATTCTGACTGTGTCCTTAACTGTCTGGATTGCATTAGAGGTGCTTGGCAGCAAATGGAGAAAAGCCATTGGGAGCTGGTTTCAGAGCAGGCATTCAAGGCACATGTCATTTCAGGCTGGGCATTTTTTTCTTCCCCAGTTTCCATCTTCTCTTTGGCCTCAAGTGGTTGAATACCATAGCTGGGTCTGGTTGGTGATGGGGTTTGTACTTAGAGTGTTAGATTTTAATCTAACTTACCTTCCAGTTGTGCCATACTAGTGTAAGTGAGGTGGTTGGAGCTCAGGCTGCAGCACTGCACTGCCTTGGAGGAGCTCTCGCAGGCCAGTATGGGTTGGATCTCAGGGTATCTGAAGGAGGTCTCAACACTTCTGGTTTTGGACTTGGTAGGCTTGCTAAATGCTTGTTTTGCACCCTGTGTCTGTGTTCAATGTGCTTGAGGAAATGTACTCCACACAAGAACTGTTTCCTTAATCTTAATTGCACTATTTTGCTGTTCTTTCCTAAGCTTCTTTGAGCATCTCTGATACTTTAAAGTGATTGGGCAGGAAAGTGCCTGGTTTATCTATTCAATATCTACTGGGAGAAATCATTTGTCTTCAGAGCAAAGGATATTTCTACTGCTGACACATTTGCAATTTATGGAATGGAGCTGTGTTTTCATTATGAACTTGCCTATTAATAATGTTGATCCACAGCTTTGTGTTCCCATCCAGGACCCAAGCTTGGAAGTGGACATGTGAATTTTCTCATGACTCTAAAACCCATTTATAGCAAGTGTCTATATGTTGAGAGGGCTCTTGCATAGCCTTTTTAATGAAAGCATCTGTTCGTGTGGATATAGATGTGAATTAAAATGGCAGTGATCTTTATTTATGCTGATAAAAATTGTGCCTTGAGATAATCTGCACTTTCTTTTTTAATATTGTTTGTCAGTTTAAGATGCCTGAATGCTGACGTGATGGACGTGGTTTGAAAGCCTGGATGGGTTTTCCTCTCATGGACTCTGCTGCTCAGTAGAGAGCTGTGCTGTTGTGCTGGGCTCTAATTTCCATAGACATTATCAGTTTGACAAAGATGCTGCTTTTAAAACCAGAACTCTTCTGAAGTGATACAGTTTTTAAGTTTAATGCTTACAGGCTGCCATAGAGTAAATAATTGAGCATTCTTGAAGTGAAGCCTGATGAGAATTTCACACTGCATCAGTCGGGCATTTTGAGGCCACAGAAATGAGCTTCCAGGTTGTTTACCCAACACCATCCTGGTCTGGGACTTAGCGTGGGGTGCATTTTCAGAAGATCCTCTGGCAACTCCTGTTTCTTAGGGAGTAATACAAGGGCCTAGGGAAATAAACAGAGGCCAGCTCATGCAAAGTTTTGTCAGCCTTGTGAGCTTTGCTTTTTAAAGCTGTTCAGAGCTCCCTGTCACCCCTGTGGTTACCCTGAGCTCATCCTAATGTGCATGTGGAATTGCTGGTTTAGAGATCCCAAACAACTCCAGGTGCTCAGCACCAGAGGGGAGGGAGCGCTGCACATCTGGGCTCCAGTTGTTTGCTGTGGCTGGGGGTACGTGTTGGTGCAGCCAGACTCTGAGCATGCCAGACCATTGATTTCAGTGGCACAACTTGGAAGTCCTGAATGCTTTTTCAGGCCCAAGACAACTTTTGTGCTCTGCAGTGAGAATGCCTTTCTTAAAGAAGTATATGGCTGGCTTAGTGTCTCCTGAAGAAAACCTAGCAAAGCCCCAGCACTCACAGCTCAGCTCTAGTTCCAGCAGTCTACTGAAGTCTTAAATCATTGCTGCCCTCCATGCACTGCCTGCAGCCTCTGCTGTTTGTTCGGCACAAACCTGC